CAGATAGAGCCCTAATATCCAGAGTATACAAAGAACTCAAAAAATTAGACAATAAGAAAACAAATAACCCAATCAACAAATGGGCCAAGGACATGAACAAACACTTCACAGAGGAGGACATACAATTAATCAACAAGTACATGAAAAAATGCTCACCATCTCTAGCAGTCAAGGAAATTCAAATCAAAACCACCCTAAGATACCACATCACCCCAGTAAGATTGGCAGCCATGATGAAGTCAAACAACGAGTGCTGGCGAGGATGTGGGGAAAAGGGTACTCTTGTACACTGCTCGTGGGACTGCAAACAGGTGCGGCCAATTTGGAAAGCAGTATGGAGATTCCTGGGAAAGCTGGGAATGGAACCACCATTTGACCCAGCTATATAATAATCTTGATCAAGTAGGGAATACACACACACTCTTGAACTACACCTGCAACATTTACAAAAATATACCTCATACTAGGTAATAGTTCAAGCCACAAATGTCAAAGATAGTATAACATAAAGACAGTATAGTGGATCACAAAATAATTACATATCAAGAATAAATATTTAGGGTGGCTGGGTTGTTGCTCAGCGGTAAAGCGCTTGCCTCGCACGTGTGAGACCCTGGGTTCTATCCTCAGCACCACATAAAAATAAATAAACAAAATAAAAATATTGTGCCCATGTGTAACTAAACAACTTTTTTTTAAATAAAGGTATTAAAAAAGAATAAATATTTAGGGACTGGGGCTATAACTCAGAGGTAGAGTGTATGCCTCACATGTGTGAGGCACTGGGTTTGATCCTCAGCACCCCATAAAAATAAATAAATAAAGATATTTTTTAAAAAAAGAAATCTAAAATGTTCTTTAAAAAAGAATAAATAATTAACTTTATAACATATATATTTAGAAATTTAAAAAGCTAATGTCTAAATTACTCATGATTTAAATAAGAAAACTAGATATCAATAATAATATTGTATATCAAAATGTGTGGAATGCAGCAAAAATGATTGGAAGAAGGAAATTCAGAGCCTTATGAGTTTATATTAGTAAAAGGAAAATCTGTAAACCAATATGTATCCAAATTAAGTGGTTAGAAAAAAGCAGGAAAAGATATTCTAAATAAAGAAATAATTAAAACATATTAGAAAAAGGAGAAAGTAATTACAATAGAAAGGATCAACAAAACCATGTCTGTTTTCTTATGACAAAATTGACAAAATTCTGGAAAGATCTCTCAAAAAAAAGAATAAACAAAAAATGTAACTTTGCATAATTCCAAGAACCATATTAATATCATATTCAACATTAATTACATATTTATGGATGTGTTAATTGATTGTGATCCAGGGAATTTGATTCATATAGCATCATACAATATTCACAGTGTCACTTAGAATTATGTTAAAGATATCTATTAAAGAATATACAAGCAGGGGCTGGGCTTGTGGTTCAGTGGTAGTGTGCTAGCTTAGCATGCATGAGGCACTAGGTTTGATTCTCAGCACCACAAACAAACAAACAAATAAATAAATAAATAAATGTCCATCAACAACTAAAAATAATATTTTTTTAAAAAAAGAATATACAAGCTAACAAGGCTGGTGCAGTGGTGCACACTCGTAATCTCAGTAGCTCAGAGGAGGATTGTGAGTTCAAAGCCAGTCTCGGCCATTTAGGGAGGCCCTAAGCAACTCAGCCAGATCTGATCTGTAAAGAAAATATTAAAAAGAGAATGTGGCTCAGTTGTTAAGGGTCCCCTGGGTTCATTCCTCAGTACCAAAAACAAAACAAACAAACAAACAAAAAGATGCAAATAAGCCATACTAGTAATAAAAAGGAATACATTTCTATTGATGTAGCAGAAAATTAAGATGATAAGGTCATTTTTGGATAGATTTTCCCCAATAAATTTGTAAATTTAAATGAAATAAATTCCTTGAATATTCTAACTTTGTAAAATCTTAGCTCAAGAAGATATAGAAAGCCTAAATCATCCTGTAACTATTAAAAATGATAGATAAATGTGCTAAAAGTCTTCCCACAAGGAAAACATTAGGCCCACGCAGTTTTGTAGATAAATTTTATCAATCAATGAATAGGTGAAAAATTTCAAACTTATAAGAATAGTTCCACAGAATTTAAAAAAAAAAAAGAAGTAGTAGTATATTTGCCAACTCAATTTTAAGACTAATATAGACAATAAAATTAAGCAATCTCATTGTACACATAGGGTTCAAAAACCCTTACCCAAAATCTTGTCATACTAAATCTAGTTATATACATATATTCGTATTTTATTAGATAAATTTTCACAGCCAAGATGATTTAATTCCAGAAATATAACTTGTGTTAATATTAGAAGATGTATTAATGCGATTCAACCCACTAATATGAAGATAAATTTGCACTTCATGGCAATTTAGTGATGATAAAATATGTAAAACATCAAACAGAGTGACAGCTGGTAGAAGTTCAACAAACACTCTTTTCCTCCTCCCTTCTCAAATGCTAATGAACCAGTGTATCATTTTCTTTGGTTATAAACAACCAACTCTGACTAACTTAATCAGAAAGGTACTTTCTCAGAAGCTTGTGGGAAATCTTTCAGGATAAAAGAACCCAGCATGGAAAAGGCAGCTGCTGCTGGAAGATGAAAACCTCCACAGGATTTAAAGGGTCCGTCTGCCTCTTGGGAGAGGGGAGCACCCAGCAGAAAGGGCTGGTTTCAGCCTCTGGGATTCTTTTCACTTCTGAAGCATGCGGGGCATATATCCTGATGTACTGTCACATTGAAATTACCCTCTGTGGGAGAGAAGTAATCCCTACAGGAAAATGGGGTACAATTGGGTACACAAAATGAATGGTGAACTGACAAAAAGACAAAAATTATCCATTTGAACAGAAGCAGCCCTGACATGGAGCAGAAAAGTGTCCTACAAATCAGCTTATCTGCTAGAAATCAATATATCCCCTTCCTAATCTAGTTTTTGTCACTAAATAAATGTCTACAACAATGTCCATTTCTATTCTTGAACAAGTCCCTTCTCCATGTCATTCATATATATGTGTGTGTGTGTGTGTGTGTGTGTGTGTGTGTGTGTGTGTAGAACTACCAGACAGCTTTCATCAACCTCTTACCTTCTTAGACATGGTCCAGTGGGTGTCAGGCCAGTGTCTGCTACTAACTGGGACACTTTTCCAGCTGCCTCCTCAATTCATTTCCAGAATATAGTCTCTAGTTATTGCTGATGACAAAATTATCCAAGATTATACTATCATTTTAAAACTGAACTGAAGCAGAAAGTAATCATGAGGCTCCTCTGAAATTTAGAGATTAAACTATCAAGCATTTTTGAGACTTTTAGACTTCTCTGTTCACTCAAGGTAGGAGTCAGTTTTCTATCACAGTATCTACATCTGCTGATGATGAGACTTCATTCCATAGACTTTGTTTAATCATAGCCACTTGTCTTTAAAGTCCAATATGGCTTTATATAGGGATTTAACACATTTACAGAAACCGCAGTGCCATTTAGTAAATTAAAAATTAAAAGAAAATCGTAAATCATATTTTACCTGAAAGAAGTCTGTTGGCTTTAAATACGAGCACAAAATGCCCACATCTTTCTCCTACCACTCACTCTATCCAATGATAAAATATACTGTGACTGCAACTCCTAAATATTTTCATACCCAGATGCTATTCTACTGTCTGAATTCAGTCTGCCACCTGACACTATGAGTATAGCTAGCATCTCATTCATTTCCTTTCCTCTCATCTTACATTCCTTCCATCTGTTCTCCACACAGCCGCCAGTACAATAGCACTGACACTATGTAACTCCAGGCATAGCACTTCCTGCAGATATTCATGCACCTTTCCCTTTGCCTTTGGTGTCCTCATTTATTCACAAAACAAGATCCTTCATGCTCTGACCCTCATCCACCTGCACAATCTTGCTTTGCTCTCCCACAGTTTAGCAAGGTTATTCTCTCAGCCTGGTTTATTTTCCTTGCATCTACATGTAAAATATCACATCTCATCACAATTTCTAGTCTCCTTAGAAGTCTTCCCTAATTTCCCAGATAGATTTTCTCCAGCTCTGTTAGACTCTAGCTAAGATAACCCCCAAGATTCTCCTGCTTATTGATGCCCATGCTTTCATGGAATACCTTCCCCTTGGGTGAAAGTAAAACCAATGGGGACTGGCAATAGAATGTGACCAAGATGATGAGATGCTGCTCTTTTGAATAGGTTACATTAAATGGTAAGGATGATGGGACATCATGCCCATAATGACCTTACATATTTAAGAATATACCTCGGAATATTCTGACTGTAGCCTTGAAGAAGCAAACAGCCATGCTGTTTGTGAACTGCTTATGGATTGCTGCATGGCAGGAAACCAGGCAGACTCTTGTGCCTGAGGCAGCCTCCAGCCAAAAACCAGAAAGGAGCCAGGGCTCTAGTCATAAAAACACAGGAAACTGTTTCTGCTAACAACCTATGGAATCTTGGAAGTGGATCTTTCCCAATTGAGATTGTGATGAGACTGCAGCCATGGATGACACTGGATTGTAGCCAGTGAGACCTTGAAGCAGAGACTCCTGATAAGCTGCCCTTGGATTGCACCAGTGGAAACTATGAAACAAGAAAAGTATGTGGTTTTTAACTACTAAATTTGTGGAAGTTTATTATACAACACAGAAAATAAACATACTGGCAAGTCAAGATATATTTAATAAATAATCTCCATCAAACAGCTTTTTATACTCAAATAAGTTGTTTCCTGAGAGATGTTTTTAAAATGTCAAATCGGTTACTCTACCTTTTTAAAATTATGTATCTCCAGCATCTAATACAGGAAGTATTCATTGACTCTTTGTTTTAACAAGGAGAAAAAAAAAGAAGAAAATAAGTAAATGCGTAGTACTAGATGAATATTAAACAAGCTACTGAAAACATTAAGCATCTGTCATTGAACATATAATTTCCTTTCAACTCTAATAATCTATGAGATTGAATCTTGGAAAACTGAATATGGGAAAATTGAATAGAACTGTTACTGAGTACCTATTATGCACTAGGTGCTGACTTAATAAATATGGAAAATTCCATTTAAAAAGATTCCGTATAAAAAAATATGAGCTGTATGCAGGTAACATCAGTGAATTTGTAAGTCTTTGAACAAACTGTCAAAGGTAATTAAGATATAACTATCTTTTGTGACATGAAACCAGCTGCCCTAGAAATGTTTAAGCTAAGACTGAAGCCTGTCCCCATTAGAAAGATAATAAGAGGGATTCAAATACTGGCCTATGTAACCTTTGAGGTCCCTTCCAGTTCTACAATTCCATGATCCTTAAAATTGTAATTTGGAAAACATTTTATGATGGGCTAAAGAATTATACCCAATGACATTCTATCTCTCTAATTTTTAAAAGTATTGGAAAATAAGTCCTAAATGTATTCTCATGAATCCTGAATAATTATTATTTCTAAAAATAAAGTTTCTGGCCACAAAACTTGATGCATGCATATAACTGCATTGAGTTCTAAGGAACCCAGATGATTTTATGTATATGTTGCAATGATTCCAAATGCCACAAGGTGGCAGAACGTTGGCACTGTGTTTCTAGTTCACAAGACTTCAAAACAGACGTTCATGATAAATTCAAAGGCAGTTTTAATTGAAATCTTGGATTCTTCCATCTGTTTCCATGTGCCAGGTGCAGAGGTTGGATAGGGGAATTGAGATGTATATTTGGAGGCTCTTGTAAAAGGAGATGGGAGGATATAAAATTGAGTATATTTAAAGAAAAACTATTCACGGATAAAACTCCTGATTTGCTCCGACCCCCAAATTATAACAGCCCCACCTGATCATTGCCTTCTCTAATCATTCCTGTACTATCCACCATTCAATACTTAAACTGGTGCAAATTCACAAATACAACACTCTCATTTAGATCCTTAAGTCATCACAAAGCAGCAAAAATTATTTGATCTCTTTGTGAGGTTTTAAGACCTAGTGATGCACACTGTTCTGTTTTTTCCCAAACACTGCTACAGGTCACAGCCACAAATTAATGGTATTTCTGTACTATGAAAAGGGGCAACACGCTTTTTCTCATTCATTAAGCTCAGGCTTCAGAGTTTGATTATGCAACACTCTTCATATGCCTCTTCCTCTAGAGTGTAATCTTCTGCAGGGTTCATGGATTCTTCGATAGTGTATGAACTTTTGATAGTGTCTGAACATTCTACAAGTTTTTTCTTCTTACCACAGATATTTAGAGTGCTATCACATCATAATCATTAAACTAATGAGGTACTGCCTTCTTTGGGGAATAAGTAAAGTAAGTCTAACAGAACCAGGACTCTACTGTAATAGCTATATCATCTCTAGGAACTAGAGAGTGACTGGTATATAGTAGACATTAAAAAATAATGATGAAATAAGAAATCTTTTATTGTATACTCATCAAATTGAGAGGATTATATATTATGAGTCCAATAAGACCTTACAATTAAGACCTACAAAGAGTTGCTCAATAAAAGTTTGATGAATTAACAATGGACAAAACTATATACCCCATAATTTTATGTTTTCTATTAAAAAGTTGATAAAGGAGCTCAAGCAATCAAGGCATGGTTATTTATTGTTATTGACCAACTCTTGTTTCAACTCTTTGAGTAACTCTCAAGGAATTCAATGCTTACTCCTACAGAGTTAACTGTGGCAGAGACAAAATGCAGGAGGTCATAAGCAAAGAGAGAATGTTGCTATCAGAATAGCATTATTCTTTAAGCAATTTAGGGCTCTTACACATTTACTTCCTTCTTTTACAGTAATGTAAATAAATATATTTTTATTTCCATACAAACCGTGAGGAAAAGCTTAGAACCTCTTCAGCCACCCTTTTTTTCTCCAACTCTAAACTCTTTTCCGGAAATTGACTCTACTTTAATTTTCTCTCTAAATTATATGTGAAGACTATATAATACAGTTCTAAGTTTTGATTTATCAATTTTAGTCTTCCTTGCATCAAATTCAAGGATTTAAGTCACTCATGCTATTCTCCTAATATCATGTTTGATACTTGTAATATTATTTTAGTTCTCCTATCAGTTATGTCTGTAACTGTCAATAATTTCTTTAAAATATATTTCTAATATCAATTTTCAATAGACTTTTTTAAGTAGACACTTTGTGAGATGCCAGTATCTGCCACTGTTTATTCTTCAACCTCCTCTTTTCCGTCAGTTAGACTTGTACTTCTGTATTTTCCAGATTGCTGTTATTTATATTCTTTGTCATGCAGCCATAACACAGCCTTCTTCATTTTGTTATAGGTTATCTCTGAAAGTTAAAAAGCAATAAATGGCTTTTATTTTAAAATTATTCCATAAATAAATTCAAAGCCAGGTAATATATTAATATTATATATATTTTTTCTCAGTAGATCCAATATCATGAGTCTTAGATCACTCATGAAGGAATTTTTATCACATTAAGTTCAAATAGGTTTGTTTCCCTCGAAAACAATGCATTTAAAAATGCATCAAAATTCATTTTATATTTGTACTGTCTTGACTAGTTTGCTTCTGAATTGGCCTGTAACAGTTTCCTTGCTCAGCTCTCCCAACAGTTTCTAATTGCCTTTGTCTTTTACACCACTTGACTTTATCATCAGACTATTAGTTATTTACAGAATTTTGATTATATGATATAGTCTATCAAGTGACTATTTCTCTAAGTTCCAGAAGCTTCTGAAAGCTTCTGAACTTCCTCTTTAATCTAAACTTATAGTTCCCCAGACCACCTGCATTCATGTCACCAACACTACCTCTTCCAAGGTTCTCCACTCTTTCCTACATCTGTGGCTTCCTCTTTCTGAGTTTATTTCCTCATTAAGTAAAACCTCATGAAATCTTCAGTGCTAATATGTAGAGAAGGCAACTTTCCAAATGCTCATACCATTAGCAATATCTTTACTCTCATCCATTTTGGTACTTTGGCTAGTTACAGACTTCTATGTTAGAGGAAGATATCTATCCAAATTGTGTTAATCCATTTTCATTTACGGTAACAAAATATTGGAGATATCAAAACCTGAAAGAGGATAAGTTTATTTTGGCTAAGTTTTGGTTGTTTCTGCCATGGTCATTTGGCTCTGTTGCTTTTGGGCCTGTGGAAAGGCACTACCCTATGGTGGGAGTGTGAGGCAGAGGAAGCTTATATACCTCATGTCTATGAACAAAAAAGCCAGGATGAGGAAGAGGCTAGGGTCTGAAAATTATCTTTGCACGCCCCCAACAATAGGAAAACCTCCAATTACTCTACCTCTAAAAGATTCTACCACCTCCCAATAGCACCACGAGCTGGGGTCTAAGCCTACAACACCTGGGATTTGGGGGGACATCTATGCAAATCATAGCTTATTACATATTTGGTAAATTAGCAATAGTCCAGAAACTTTCCTCCTGTTAATTTAATTTTTATTTCTTACATTTGATCTACCTATGGTGACTACATTTCTCTGAAAGTCTAGACATTAAAATGGAACATTAGTCCTAACAATTTGAGTGGCATGGAGCTTGGGGAAGGGTGCTACAACTGTGACTAAGCACAGCTGACTCTGTAGACCTCCAGGGCACATCTGCAAGGAAAATGAGGGTTAGAAATCATGAATGAACCTTTCCCGAGTCAGTTACCCTTAATTCCAAGAAGACCAATTACTTTGTTCAAATTGATTAGATGTTTTGAGTTAACAAATTCTTTTAAAGATCCAATCTGTTCTTTCCCTAATATGAGTATAGACAAGGTCCAGATGGAGATTTCAATTGAGGAAAGAAGGGGAAGGTGGAGAGAGAACACATGCTTTTTTAAATTGCCAACATTTTGAAGGCCAATACAAAACAGAATATAAAGCAACCCACTCATCTACAATGAAAATTGAAAATTGTATAAAACATGATATATTGAACTTAATATACTCAAGAGAGAAAATAAAATTGAATGGAAATTGTTATATAGAGATCCATCACCAGTTTATATAATTAATAAAAGCTAGCATGGCATTATCTTTAAATTAGAATAAATGATAAGCTATTATAAGTTTAATTTAACAAAAGTAAATTAGGAATTCCTTTGTAAGTTCCTATTGCATACCAGTGTATTTGAAATGTTCACATACTGTCTTTGTTGGAGCATAACAAGTGTACAGTCTGTAAAATGACAATGGTTTCATAAATACAAATACTAGGTGTTGGCTCAGAAAGTCCAAGTGATTTGCCTGACATCCCAGACCTTCTTCTGGTAAGTCCCATGCTTTATGTGTTTACCACAATGACTTTAACTATATGCTATCCTGTGTGACTTTAACTATATGCTATCCCTCAGGTTTGTTAAAATATATTTCAATAATAAAATCTTAAACTTTTAGCTCTTCTCTCTTTCATGGAAGCACAATCACTTTGAATTTACAACTCAACCCCTATAATCCTGTTAGTTCAAATGCTATGATCTCCAATCCAACTTTAGAATTGATTGTATTGTCTAGATAAGAGTGATAATAAAAAATCATAATTAAAAATGATTATATTGAGAGCTTACTATATGACAAGCCCTATTACACATATACTCAGTTTCTATCTTCCCAGCTTTCTTATGAAGCAGTCATTTCTTTAGATTTCTTATATGAAGATGGTTACATTGCATAACTAATTTGTTTTATTTCAGGAAACTAAACTTACAGGAAATGATTAAGCAGAACAAATATATCCAGATAATAATTTCATTCATCATGACTAATCTAGTTGACTGAGCCGAAATCAAGTTCTATGACTGAAAGATATCAGCCATTGATACCTGAAAGTCAACAGGTAACTTTATTTATTATTATTATTTTTATTCTGCAACTCAATTTATTCTACAAACTTTTATAAATACACATATATACTCAAACACATGGATTCAGTATGGTTAGCAACATAACACAAATGATCACTAATGAAGTTAAGAATTTAGCAGAAGTATATTCTTTTAGCTTGTTTGCTTTGAGATCCTCAGTTGTTGATACTATATTTTGAACTTTAGGAGCTCAGTAAGAATTAAATAAATGTAATGAATAAATCTAAAAGCTGATAGAAATTCTCAATTTAATATTATAAACATAAATACTCTCTCTAATACAGTTGGAGTTTTTCTTTGTTCTTTTTCTGTTTTTTTTTGTTTGTTTGTTTCTTCCTGTAGTGGCAATTAAATCCAGGGGCTTACCACTGAGCTGCCTCCCCAGCCCTTCCTCACCTTTTTTTTTTTTTTTTATTGAGACAGAGTCTCACTAAATTTCATAGGCTGGACTTGAATATGTGATCCTAGTTAGAATTACAGACATATACCACCACACCTGTCTCCACTAGAATTTTAAACATTACTTTAATGAATAGTAAAATCATAATATATAAAATATAAGGGAAATATAAAACAAACAAACAAAAACCCCAGAATGCTATCAATTATTGTACAATCACTCCTATTTTGGAATTTCTTTTAAATTAGAAGCTATTTAATAGTATCATTCCTATTCTGTATTAATAAAATGTTTTTCAGCTATTTTTTTTATTTGAAATTTTCTCTCTCATCTTTTTTTCTATGATACCAGCAACCCATACACAAATGTATGGCACAATTTGAGTTTAAAATGTTTTTTTCTTTTTAAATTTTTTTACTTAAGAATTCAATCAAGGTAGTTTAGGGATATAACTCAATAGTAGAACATTGACCTAGCTTGTGTAAGCCCTGAATTTAATCCCTAGTACTGTCAAAAAAAAGTAATTTTTTTCAGTTCAACCAAGGTTTAAAACATAGTCTGGGTTAATTAATAAAAGGTATTTTGGTATTTTCTTTCATTTTGCTTCATTTTTTATACTCTTTCATTTCAAATACTATTGGAATTTAAGACAATTTCTTCAGATAAGAAGGGTAAATATGAATATCAGTAAGCGAGCTTTTTGAAATTATAATACTATTCTCAAACTCTAACCTTTGCTAGGTTTTAATAAAAGGAAACATTTTGCTATGTAAACTAAGAATCTAGTGAACATCTTTGCTTACCTCCATTATTTTGCAAAGCATTTAGCATAAGAAAAGCCAGAGAAAACTCCAAATATAAGATCTGTGCTTTTTTTTTTAAGTTCTACCAGGACATGCACAAAAAGTAAAATTACTAGAGCTATAATTAAAATCTTAATAAAATCATGGTCATACTAAAAAATATTTTAGTGATAATTTAAAGTCCACCTTAAATCTGAGAATCTCTTTCTTAGTCTGATATTGTTTCCATAAAACTAACTGTGGTCTTAGAAGAATGAACTTTCTGAATCCAGTGAAGAAGGAAAATTTCTAAATATTGAGAATAATGCATAACACGGGCAACCCAATTTATATAATTTCTTTGTGTTTTAATTTTTTTGTCTGAAACAATCTGAACTGGTATGTAAGGCTTTGACTTTGTATTGTTAGATTGTATGATTATTTCAAGTTGTACATACTTTGCCTCTCTCCTGCAAAACTACTCGTTAACATTCAAACATTTAAAAATTTTAGCTATGTATCTAATTACAGAGATAAAGAAATATAAGACAATCTCCACATAAGAAAATAAAGAGCCAGCTATGGTCAGTGTTCTTCTTTGTTGGCTAACCCCTAAATAAACCTTCACGAAAAGCCATGGCTAAAGATTAATGCTCAATGCAAGACCTGTATTATGTATGTTGGAGACATATGTAAGATAAATAGAAGTCTATTCTTGTTCCCAAAAAGGTACTGTCTACAAGTGTCAAGAAGATCAATGTCAGAATCACATTTGTATGCCAGATTATGATTTTGTATACACAATAACCCTTTGCCTTACCTATACTTTAATAACCTTTAACTTTACATAAATGATCAAAGTATACATATGGTCTGAAAGTAAACCTAAATACTCTGTGGTTCTACAGATTCTGTTCTACACTCTGATGAAGTCCCACCACATAAGAAGACTACCTGGCTGATGGGTATTACTGGGGTCCCAGTCTCTCTCCCTGTCAAAGCCTTTGCACATGTTCTTTTTTTAAAAAATGTTTTTATTGTTGTAATTAGTTATACATGACAATAGAATGCATTTATGCACTTTGATATATCATACATAGATGCAATATAATTTTTTTGAGTGTACTTGTTGCAGAATCATATCGGTCATGTAGTCACACATATACATACAGTGATAATATCTATTTCATTCTACTATCTTTCCTATCCTCACATTCTCCCACCCCCTCCCATCACTTCTCTCTACCTAATCTAAGGTAGATTAGTGCCCCCCCCCCCAATTTTATTGTGAATTAGCATCTGGATATTAGAGAAAACATTCAGACTTTGGTTTGTGGGATTTGCTTATTTTGCTTGGCATGATATTCAAAAGCTTCCTCTCGGCAAAGGAAACGATTAATAATGTGAGGAGAGAGCCTACATATTGGGAGAAAGTGTTTATAACTTGCACCTCTGATATAGCATTAATCTCTAGGATATATAAAGAACTCAAAAAACTTAACACCAAAAAAAAAAACCCTGAATAACCCAAGCAATAAATGGGCAAGGAACTGAACAGACACTTCAGAAAAGAAGAAATACAATTGATCAACAAATATATGAAAAAGTGTTCAACATCTCTAGCAATTAGGGAATGCTAATTCTCTAATAATTATTCTAATAATTAGAATGAGTTAGAGAATTCGTCTCACTCCAGTCAGAATGACCATCAAGAATACAAGCAATAATAAATGTTGGCAAGGATATAGTAAAAAAGGTACACTCATACATTGCTGGTGGGACTGTAAATTGGTGAAACCACTATGGAAAGCAGTATGGAGATTCCTCAGAAAACTGGGAATGGCACCACCATTTGACCCAGCTATCCCACTCCTTGGTTTATACCCAAAGGACTTAAAAACAGCATACTATAATGATGCAGCCACATCAATGTTTATAGCAGCTCAATTCACAAAAGCTAGACTATGGAACCAACCTAGGTATCCCTCAATAGATGAATGGCTAAAGAAAATGTGATATATATATATACTCAATGGAATATTGCTTACCTTTAAAGAAGAGTAAAATTATGGCATTTGCACATGTTCTTAAATGCCAATTCTAGCCCAGAGGTGTTCTCTTCTCTTCCAACAAAAATGCCTCATCTCTTACTTGGAGTTCACATTCCCCACACCTTCATTAACTTCTTACTGCCCTTATCATAACCAGAAAAAGAATCCTCTTGAATCCATATCTTCCAAATTCATAAAAAATTGGATTGCATCTCTGTGTTACATTCCTTTACCATTTGACCCTTTTAACTATGTCTAAAATAGATACTTATGATTTGTATACTTTTTAAAGCTAGTATTTTTATGTATACTAATCTGATCCTATCTTATTTAGAACCCAGTTACTCCTACCCTTCAACTCTCAACCAGAAATAATTATGAATTGAGAAAAAGAATCACTTTCACATCCTAGTGACCTATCCATCCAGGTTACATTGTGCTATTCTTCTATGGTCCAACACTGCCTGTTAAATGTAATCATGCTCTGGGGGCACACATTAGGGGAAAACAGCTTTGGGATGAACATATACCAGATGTATTCTATAAGGGTGCAGAATCCCAATAGTAACAGGGCCTGGGAGGGAAGTATCAGATAGTCTGAATGGTCATGTTATTACTTGCCCAAAAGCTGCAGGTCCACCAGTTTTACTAAACTAAATCATTAAAAATAATCAATTCCAAAGAAAAGCGCATCTCAGAGTAAGTTTCAAATTTAGCTACGGAGGATATAAAGTGTTGTCTAAGAACAAGATACTTCCCACTGTTCCTGGTTTCTACTTTTTGATGTGTGTGTGTGTGTGTTTTCTGGTGATAAGGAGGATGTATAGGAAAGATATTTTCTAGAGGTGGGCAGATGGAAACAGGAGAGCTAATTCTTTTTAATTTATAGTTTCCTCATTTATTTAAATTTAAAATTTATACATTTTAGATTTCAATTATTTCAGTAGCTTATGTTTCCAGAAATATAGTTTAGAGGAACTTATCCCTGGTTACTAGATAAAACACCAAAAGAGCAAAATCATTTCAAATGAGGAGTACAGGATAAGTGTAGTAAGAGAGAAAAGTGATTGAAAAATAAAAAGTGCTGTCAAAGATTAGAGATAGAAATGTGCAGAAATCATTTGTCTCTGTTAGTAAAAAAAAAACAGCATTATTAATAATCACAATAAATAACATCATTCTTGTTTCTGCTTACATGTGTGTACCTTTTTATATTAACCACCTCAAAATTCTGAGATAATACCCTTAGACTCTCAGGGAGTCCACTTTTCTCCCCCCCAAATACTTAAGAGACTAAATTTGCTGGCATCTGCTAAAGCATATGATTTCATTTCCACGCTTTCACATAGATTAGGTTGATGCTTCTAAAAGGCCTTGTGAATGAATATGTCAGCTCCCTACTTTCATTTTATTTTATGCAAAGACTGATTAGCACCATGGGCATCTCTATAGCTAATGATGATGGGAGTGGTAATTCAATAAGAATCTGCTACTTCTGAAGTTTCCATAGTAAAACCCAATACAAACAGTATTTAATTGTACTAATTATTTTTTTTTGTGTCACTTAAAGTTTGTAACAAGATTAAATGAGGTTTTAAAAATTGGGTACTATGCAGTGATTTGTAAAAACCTGTATAAATGTGAAATTACTAGTGAACAAGAGAAAGAGAAAGGCTTAGTTTTTTAAATTCACATTTTGCAATTAAACCTCCATAAAACCCTGTCCCAAATCAATAACAAACTTTGAGTTCATATTTTTACACATGTAAAATAAATATAAATTCATTATGAGGTGTTATTTTGCATTCAACGTATGTATTTTTATTTTTGGTGGTAGCAAGAGTCATTCACATTGGCATAAAATTTAAAGAAATTCAGAGCTGACTTATATTCATGCTCTTGAGTTTAAGCATGAGAATATCTTGTTTTCTTTTTATCTCTTTAGAGTTTCCAAGACAACTGGATTTATCTTCCAGAATAATTTCATATTTTCTTCACTTAAATCAGTTAAATCAATATGCAAAATAACCAAGATTATTTAATATTTGTCTCTTTTTTTAAATTGATAAGCATCCAGTCTTTGTCAACAGAAATAAAATTCTACTTCATATTTTCTATATTACAGAAATGCAGCAAGCTCTTGAAGGAATATCAAATTCAACTCATGAATACTTTTAAATAACTTCAGATTATATATGGGCTTACTTTGAATTCATGAGGTAACAACATGCAAATAATTATCTCTTTGAATGTTATAGTTCAAAAATGCTAAAAACAGCTATTCCAACTTGATTATAAGCTAGCAGTGTCATTTAGGTATAGATGTTCAATATGAATATTCAGTGTGATGCATTGTTTTTAATATTGCCTTAAGTGGTACAATCATCCTCCTCGGATGCCATATGCACTATTGCATAATCCATCACAGTTACAAAGGAATGCTTCCTTAAATGCTTAACAGAGATTTATATGAGCTACTTTTCTGTCACTTTGCCAACTGAATCTCTAATTAATCAATACTCTAAGAAAGATTAAACCTTAAAATCAAGCTTTTAGAGAAAAAAAGCAAGGAATTCTATGATAATATACCTTAGTGAATTTTGAGTTTCCCTTCATAGTCTCTACTGACCAAGCACTGTTTTGTTGCACCAAAAGGCTATGAATATAAGAGTCACCACAATTACTGAGTACCTACTCTGTACCAAACATTGTACTGGTAACTATCTTCTGTATGTTAGTGTGAATACCAGACTTAAATGCCAGTATGGGAAGTCTAGAACTGATCCTGTAGTGTTCTGGAAACTTTGAAAAGATGTTTTGGAGGGGTCAGCTGCATTTTTGAGAATAGAGAAAGAAAGGTTAATCTTTCACGTGGACAGTTATAGAATGCAAGACTAAGGGCAAGGGGAATACCAAACAGTAAATAGAAAGGTCCTAAACCAGTTCAGTGTGGATGGAATGTGAAATCAGGATGAAATGAGAAGCATTGGGCTAAATTAGAGGACCTGGTCTTAGAGACTGTGAGAAAGAGAAGTTAAAGTTGAAATTCTGCTTCAGGGAATTTATTTCATAAACGTGTATGTATGTATATGAAATATATAGGTTTGTTTTGTCAAGAAATAATAGGTGATACTGTGATAACCACAAGATCTCAGGGCTGAACACGATGACATCTAATTTCTCACTCTCAGCAGTCAGGTGGAGTGGGGCTCACCTTCTTCATCTGAAACACATGGTTTCCAAGGAGTTCTAGCAGGTAGAGGGAATGCTGGTGAGCTGCTCAGAAGAGCTTTAAGGATCTGGCTTGGAAATTACTTTTGTTGATTCTACTCTTGTCTCATTAACTATCTCAGATACCTGCCCTTTATGCTAACTACACACAAGATTGGAAATGTAGATGTGCACATATATCTAGTATAATATCACTAGATAGTTTTCATAAGAGCAAATGATTAGAAACAGCCCATATACCCATCAATTGGGAGCTATTTAAATAAATTCTCCTGCATTGATACTGGGAAATCCTAAAAACAGATGCTGAAATGGGAGATCTTGAATTCATGCCATTAAATGAAAAAATAAAATAAAATGCAGATAATTATGTATGTTATCATTTATATGAAGAAGGCAAATCTGAAATATTTGAAATATAAAACTTTGAAAGGACACAGAAGAAACCAATGACAGTGGTTACTTATTTAAGGAAGGTTTTGGATGAGGTAGACTATCTTTTGAAGTAGTCTCATTTTACTTTTACCCATAACTGAATCCAAATAAGTGGTTTAATAGTATTGTACCTTTCTACTAACTAGACTTTATATTTTATCATCAAATATCAAGGAACAGAAAAATCATTTTAGTCCAATAACCAGTTAATTCAAGCATATTTGCAAGCTATACTCCAAGACAAACTAAGGGTAAACTGCTAGCAGAGATGTGAATTTGTCTGAATATTTTCTGAGCATTTAATAGTGACACTAATGCTGATTTGTATTCTGATGCTTCTTAATGGAGGGCAAACAAAACTAGATGCTTATTATATTCCCTTGGATTGTTTCTTCCTAAAAGCCCAATTTAAATTTAGCTTGGGATTTTCCGTTAATGTTAAAGTCAAAGCAGCTGTTTACACTTTAGTGCACTAGGATTTGACTCTCCATAGATTCTCAATTTTGCCTGCTCAGGGCAAAACAAAGCGAATCTTATGTTCTACCTGAATAGTTTCTTCATTTCTTGGGAATCCCAGCGTGATTCTAGAAATGAAGAAACCACCTCATCAAACCAGTCTTCCTCTCTGAATCTCAGCATCCTACCTATAAAACAGAGATTGACTATCGAGCTAAGTAAGGGTGTTTTAGAAGAATCAATGAAGACATAATGTATCTTTCAGAGTGTACTGGTAAGTATTCAATATCAAGTTTTCCCAGGCAAGCTTTCCTTTCTGTTCTGGGTGAGACATGAACTTCATGATAACCTGTTCCCACTGCACTCTGTACCTCTTCTTTCAAAACTTAAATGTTTGCTTCCTCTCTCCCCTACTTGAGTACTGTGTCTTGTATGCTACTATGTGGCAAGTACTTACTGAAGAGCAAGGCATAGAGCTCAATATTTCAGAGCCAAATAATACAATTGACTGCAAGCATTGTCCATCTCTCTTCAATTCGTAGGTTTTCCCCCATGGTCACCACTAAACATCAGAGCCCTTCAGAGTAAAAAGGACAACCACGGGAATCATATGCCAATAGTCCTAGAGGAGCTTATTAATATTTGTCTTTTAGGTTAGCTGCATCATATTTTACTAGTTACAGTTATGATGTTTGAGGAATGTTATTTGTGTTAAGGTCAAATCCATTTGGTCTTTTTTTTTTTTTTTGTACTAAGGATTAACTACAGGCACTTTAGTCACATCCCCAGGATGTTTTAATTATTATAATTTTTTTTTAAATTTTGAGACAGGGTCTTGAAAAGTTGCTTAGTGCCTTGCTAAATTGCTGAGGTTGTCTTTGAACTTGCAATCCTACTGCCTCAGCCTCCCCAGTCACTGGGATTATAAGCATGCACGCCATGCCTGGCTCATTTTGGTCTATTTTTGTAATAATAATAAAGATTTTACAAACGTACATTGAACACTTTATATTTGCCAGACATTGTTTTTAGGCAGTTTACATTTAATCTTTTAACAACCTTATGCAGTAGATTCTATTATTGTCCTCACTTTACAGAGGAAAAAGAAACATGTAAAATCTCTTGCCCAAGTTTGCATAACTATGGTTGACAGAGCTAAGATTCTGATATGGGAAGTTTGAATTCAGGGGTCATAGTTTTTACTCATCTCTATACTTCTTTATAATGGTAAACTATTTTAACACAGTATAAATATACTTGAAAATATACAATGTAATTGCCTATTAGATTTACTTCAAAATGACTTTTTAAAATGATAATATTGGTGCAACCAGACCGGTACACATGCATTCCTGGTAGCATTATAAAAAGACATAAAACTTTTGAACAATTTAAAAATATGTGGGATGTAAACTGTATTCTGTAAGAAAATAGCAGGGTTGGCTTTGAATAACTGTTATGGGTAACTGCTATCCTGACTTTTTAATAATTATTTTCTTATTGTGTTTATAGATTTTACCACCTTTCTTTCTTTGATAATGTAAAAAAACTTACCCATTTTAAACTATACCGAAAGAAAATCAAAGTATAGTATTTGGTAACTTGCCTGCTTCTCTTACCACTACCTAATGAGACTCAGCTCTCTAATCCTGTGTAGCATCAGTTTTATTACTATTTAATGTAATGACTAAAATATTTGGCTTTCTACCTATATTCTTATTTTTGCTTCTTGAGTTGTCCTGCCTGTTTGTATTTCTTTTATTCCCCATTTTGATTTTCTTTGGACTAATTTTTTTTAATCACATGATTTATTTTCCTATTTTTTTACATCTTTATTGTGGCTACCCTTGAAATTATATACTTACCAATTTCTGAATTTTCAGAACTTTTACAAATATAATATTAATATATTATATTATGGTTTTCTTATTTTTTATTTTTAATTCCATAGAGCATTTTTATTGCTTTATGAATTATTTACTTAGATCAATTCACATATGCTGTTCTTTGCTGTAGGACAATTCAGTGAGGGTCTGCTGATGACAAAATATTTCTGGTTTTGTTTTCTGGAAGTACCTCTATTTAGCCTTCATTTTTTACAGATAAAATTCCAGGAAGAGACTGATTTTCTCATTATGCTGAGCTACATTCTGCCTACCCCCATTATTAGAATATCTCTTTTTCTTTGACGTACTGCATTTTCACATGCTATGTGTCTTTGTAGACTTTGAAAGAATATGAGATTTATGAATCTCCTGTAATCTCTGTCTTTGTCCATTTGATAAATTCTAGAAATTTGTAGCCACCTAACTTTTTCAAACACTGCTTTCTCTGCCTTCTCTGTATCCTCTCCTAGAATGTGTTTTAAATTTAGTCCTTCTCATCTATCTCTGATGTCTCTTAGCTTCTCATATTTACATCTCTTTGCCACTCTGCATTCTCAATAATTTCTACTGGACTGTTTTCTAGTTCATTCATTGTCTCTTCAGTTTTGAGTTATTTGCTGTACTACTTCTCAATGTTTTATTTAATTGAATTCTGTTTACTTTATGTTCTTTTTAAATATTTTTTCAAGTCTGCTACATAGTGTCCTGTGCTGTTAATTCAAGTTTGTCTTTCATTGCTTTAAGTAATAAGGATATGTATTTTATAATCTTTGTTCAACAATTCCAATGTATAATCTTTGTGGATTGATTTCAAAACCTAATTCACTTGGTTGCAAATGCTCTCAGGGCAGAAGTGGTTTTTGTGCCACACTAACCTCCCCAGCAGGATTTGTGCTTTCTACCTTGTAATGCTTTACTATCTTCTTAGTAGTCTGGTACTTTTAAGAAGTTTGTTGATTTGATATTTAATATCAAGAGTTTTAGTTGTGGTCAAAAGAAAACTTGGTCCCAATAACCTAGTAAAATTCAGTGCCAGAACTCAAATTCCTTGCTTTGAATAGTTTAATCATTCAGCTACAGAAGGACAGTGGGATAGACCTGATAATCTTTCACCATCCTTCTTCTATTATATTATGCTTATAGGATCATACAGGGCATCAAACAATAGGAAGATAAATAACAAACTGTTTCAATATACATATTCTAATCTG